GTCTGGTCTGTAAGTGCAGTTCAAGCAACGTCTCTGTCAGGGCTTCCAAGAGCCCCAACAAGTTAGGCACCCCCTCGGGGTCCCAAAGCGTCCAGGGCACCGCTCTCCCAGCTTCAGCCAGATGGCCCTGTCGCCTTTCGGGGGTCTGCCTCAGACAGAGCTTGGTATACAGTAGGTGCTCAGTAAATGTTTGCTGAATTAATATGTAAATGAGTGAATGAATAAATGACACTGTAAGATGAGGACTTGGGAAAGCATCGCCAAGGCCCTGTCGTCTGCAGGAGTGGGAGGGGCCCTCTGGGGGCCACCTCAGGGGCTCAGCCAAGGCCACACGTGCCTCCCAGCCCAGCTTGCAGCTCAGGCCCCATGGGGGCAGGGCGTCCCAGTGCCTGTCTATGTCCTAATGTCCTCTTCTAATAAGGACACCTAATTGGATTAGGGCCACCCCAAATGACCCCACTTCCACTTAATTGTCTTTTTAAAGACCCTGTATACAAAGGCAGTCACATTCTGAAGTACTGGGAGTTAAAACTTCAACAGAGGGATTTGCGGAGTTACAGCTCAGCCTATAGCTTCTATCTTCTAGTTCATTGATTCTCTCTTCAGCTGAATCTAAGTTGGTTTTTAACTGTTTTATGAAGATTAAACCCCACTACCTATAAAGTCCTTTCTAGAAGTTTGTTTTTGTTCTTTTTCAAACCTGTTCTTTACTTAAGATTTCAATTTATTCACTTATTTTATATTTACTTTCAGGTTTTTTAGTACACAAAGCCCTTGGGGTCTCTGATCCTCCCAGTTTGGGTAAACACTGACTGCTGAACTCACATTCAGAAGGTCCACCTACACACACACACTGAGAAGCCTTAGGACCCAGTGCTGGAACAGGCCTCAGGCATAATTTTGCTTTTGTTTATTCCAGACACCCAGCACTGGGCAGGGACTAATTAAACGTTAACCCTGGCTTAGAACTCCACATGGTACAAACCTACATCCCCCAAAATGTTCAAGGAACAGGCCTGGGGGCTGATCCTTCAGGAGACACTTTCTTCCCGGAGTCCAGGCAGAGATAAGAATGCACGTTGCATCTCTAAACTGGTGGGTGATTTTCTAGCCTGGTTTTCAGGCATCCCTCAGCATACCTCACCTCTAGTGTCTGTGAAATGGTGGTGAGGACGTGGGGAAGTGGACCCAGCCACCTTCTAGACCTAGACGGTCCCACACAGGCACACAGAAACAAGGACAGAGATGGCTTTGACAGCATGTAACAACCTACACTGACCTGTGGCATTTTATTTCTTACTAAATAAACACCTGTGGCTAATAGGCAAGGATGTTAACACATCTTCCTCCATCCTACACCCCCTGCAGCGGCGGTACAGGCATAGGATTGGGCCCCCCCAAAGACGGCACCTTCCTGTGTCTTAGACGGCAAAGTGAGCCGTGAGGGAGGAGGGTCAGTATGTGACTGCACCAGAAGAGGGTCGCTGGCTCCTCGGGGTGGCCATGAAGGCCACCAGCTCAGGGGGACCAGGACGATGGCAGGAAGGACATCAGGGAAGGCCACTGAAACAGGTGGTGTGTGTTTTTCCAGGCAAACAGCTGGAAAGATCCAAGGAATGGCCTTGTGGGAAGAAGAGTGAAACAAGGATGACGGGATATGGGCAGGCCGATGTGACAGGCTCTGGCGGCCCCGGAGGAAGCGTGACAGCAGGCAGCTGATGGACGGAACAGCCAGCAAGCAGAGGGAGCCACGTGTCAGGAGGGGCTCTCCTAGGCCGCAGCGGGTCCAGGGCCGGAGAGGGGGCAGACGCAGGAGAGCCCCGAGGCTAGGGGCCAGGCCCTGGGAGGGAGGCGGTGTGCCAGGCATTCTCAGGGCTGTGGGCCACTTGGGGCACAGGAGGAGTTGGGGTGCAGAGGAAGGCTGGGGGTGGGCCCCACAGGGTCCGGGGAGGAGCTGCGGGGAGCAGAGCGAGCAGGCGTCGGGTGGGGCGGAGGCTCAGCAGATGGCGTGAGCCACGGGGAGCAGCTGCCTTCCTCAGCAGTGGAGCCGGGGAGAGGAGGGAGCCTTGGGAGGGGCCAGGCCGCACCCCTTGCTGAGCGCTGTGAGGTGTGGGGACTGATGGGGCTCAGCTCACGGCAGACAGTGGGAGACGGACCAGAAGGAAGGCAGTGAGCTCTCCATGGAAACGGTGCAGGATCCCTCCGGACAGTGTGCGGGGAGCTGAGGGGAGGCCATGCTCTGCTCGGGGGTGGGGACTGGACACAGAGCCATGGCGGGGTGCCTGTTAGCTGCCAGCACAGGCCCCAAAGGCAGAGGTCTGACGTCCCAGGAAGGGGGCCCGTCTCTGTGCATGAGCCTCCTGGTCCCAAACCCCACAGGGCCGCTCCGCCTCTCACCCAGCAAGGAGGCCTGCAAAGCTGGAGGGGAGGCCTTGGCCTTCAGGAAGGGAAGGGACAGAGGGGTGTGGCCTCCCTGGCCTGCAGACCTTGGAGCCACATGGTCTGATCCCCTGTTACTTCCAAGCCGTGTGAGAACCGGCGCGGCCAGCACACTCACGCCACTCCCAGATGGTCTCTGTTACCCACTGGCCAGCCAGCAGGCAGCCTCCCTCAGCGAAGGATGACTGGGAAGTCAGGCCGCTCACTGGGACGGAGCAAGAGACCAGCCAAGGGCGTGGGATGGAGACCCCAGCTCTGCGGACCCGCAAGCTGGCCAGCCAGCCAGTGTACAACTGGCAAGTGTGTTCCCTGCCAGACACCACTGGGCAGACCAGAGCAGGAGCCCTGCCCCGCAGGAGCTCAAGCCACCCTTGGAACACGTCATTAGCCGAGCCCAGTGCCTCTTTCCTGGGTGCCACCTGCCCAGGACTGTGTGGCAGCAGCTGCATGAAGGTGAAGCCCTGGGAGCGATGCCCATCCAGCAGGTGAGCCAGGCCTCTGCCCGCAGGTGCCAGGACCCCAGCTGTCCCATAGCTTCCTTCTCCGGCGGCTTCTGCACACACCCTGCAGTCGCTTGTCCTGCGTGGGAATGAACGCTGCTTCCAGCACATCCGCCAAGAAAGGGGGTCAGAGGGGCAGAGACGGGCGGTGCCTGAGGGTGGGTGGGGCTCCGCCAAGGCCGCGGGAAGGGGGGCGCAGGGAGGCCCGGAGGGAGGCACCGTGTCCCATCTGCCCCGCTCCCTGAACAGTCCCCTCTGGGCTGACCTCGCAGCACCGCGGGCAGCCCTGAGTCAGAGCCAGACGCTGCCCCCGAGCGGAGCTGCGTGCGCGAGGGCGGCGGGGGCAGAATCTGTCTTGGGGTCCCACGCGGCCCCGCAGGCCGCGCCCTCGGGGTGTGACCCGCAGACCGGCCCCCCCACGCACCCCGACCGCGGCTCGGAGGCCGGGCGCCCGGGCGCCTCCCGCAGCAGGGGGCGCGCGAGCTCCGGAAAGCGCCCGGGGGCGGCGGCGGCCGCAGCCTCGGGAATAAAGCGGGGCCAAGGCCGCGCCCCCGGCTGGCGGGTCTGCTGCAGCGAGTGTGCCGGGGGCGGCGCCAGCCCGGGCTGGGGGTGGGCCCGGCGCCCTGGTGGGGAAGGCGGCGCGCGGCAGCGGCCGGCATCCGTCGCCCTTAACAATGCGGACTCTGTGGTCGCAGGGCCGCAGGGGCGGGAAAGGGAAGCTTTTGTTCGGTGGCCGGTGAAAGAAGCCCGTTGTGGAGATGCTAGTCTTCCTCTGCCACCGACAGGCTCGGCGTCCTGCTGGAGCAGAAGCGGCCCCGACGGGCGCCCCCATTCCACGGCTGCCCCCGCCCGCGCGGAGCACCTGCCGTGGCATCCGCCCACAGTGGCTGTGCCCACGGGCCGCACCCTGTCACCTGGCGATGAGATGGCAGAGGGTCTGCCTGGGACCAGGCACTGCCCGCCAGCAGGCTTCCCACCCTGGCCCTGTGATGTGCTTGCTCGGTGCCCTGCTCGGTGGGTGCAGGGCGCACCATCTTGAGCCTCCTGGCCCAGGAGAGGAAGCTGAGCCCCAGGGGCAGTAAATGACCTGCCCGAGGTCACACGATGGAGAAGTGGCAGAGCCGGTCCTCCGTCCAGGACTGTCCTACACCAACGCCTCTGTGGGTGAACTCTGAGAGCATGCACGCAGCTGGGCACATGGCCACGTGTTGGCCTCTGAAGGAAGTGACCCCTGGCAGGGTCCAGCGGCCTCCCTACCACAGACCGCCTGGTCTCTCCTGCAGTGCAGAGCCGTGTGCACCAAGAGCAGCGGGGGATGCCGGGCAAGCTGTGGGCTGCTGCGGCCGAGCAGGGTGTGGGTCACTACCTAATGTGCCTGGCCTTACACCCACAGGACACAGGCCTCTCGGGGTGCAGCCTTCTGCACCCCTGTATGGGCAGGGCCATGATTTTTGCTCTGGTATGTCCATCCAGACCCCTGAAACAAACACCAAATCCTCCAGCCAGAAAAAAATGTCACACTGGATGCCACCCATAAACACAAAATGCTTTTGAATCCCCTAACACACAAGGGAGTTCCATGTGGCCCTGAAGCCCCCCAAGAGCTCCATGGTTTGGTTTGCTTTCAGTCTGTCACCTGTGAGCCCACCTGTGGGTCCCACCAGCCTCAGAGCAGAGGGAACTGAAGGGAAAGGAGGTGGTGGGGCTGCAGGATGCCCGGCAGGCGGAGGCGGATCTGGCTACTCCCTCAGGTTACAGGGACCCCACGCCCCTCCTGCACCCCAGTCTGTGGTTATAGTAAATGTGCAACCGTCAACTTCAGGCCCTGGCATGCCCCCCAAAAGGCTTGCTCCTGAGGACCAGCTCTGAGAAGGCAGGGGGAGTGGGGCTGATGGAGTGTCAGCCTCAGGATCAGGCAGGCCACCCTCATCCCCATCAACCCCCCCAGCCCCAGCTAAGGGCTGGTCCTCGCATTGGAGCCGAGCTCCCGTGAGCCTGGCATGACTCTCGGAAGTCCCCCACGCCTGCCTGGCCCCCGCTACAGCCTGCCTAGAGCAGGGCTAAAAACAGCCCCTGCTGGGCACTGCCGACAGCCAGCCGTGGGTGTGGGCAAGGGCGTGGCCTCCACCCCTGGGCCTCAGCTCTTCCTCGGGACTCTCCCTCTGTCCCCAAGGAGCTTCCTCTTCCCACCTGCAGGTCAGCGGTTACACCTCACCCGTGCACCATGGCCCTGCGCCAGCCTGAGAGACACATGGCCCTTCTCCGTGGGGTGCAGGGGCTCTCAGAGGGAACACGCGGCACTGAGATGGTCAGCAAGCACCCAGAAGACCAGTCTTCGCGGTGGGTCTGCATGCTTTTCCCTAACGCATCATGCAGGAAGCTGACCTCAGCAGGCTCAGTGGCCCTGGGCCTGACCAATGTGCCATGCGTCCACAGCTGTGCGACAGCAGTTTCCGTGGCCTCATTTGGGCCTTGCTGGGCCTCGCTGTCACTTTGCACCCACGCTCACAACAAAAGAAAGTGCCAACTCAGTCAGAGCTCATGCAAGAAGGTGCCATTCCTTCCCTCCCGAGCTCACACTCCTTTCAGGCCGGTGTGCCCAGGTGAGAACCCCATCTACATGGCCCCCACTTGGAGCCCCTGCCCCTTCCTCTTGCTCACTGGGCCCCTGAACCAGCTCTGCTAGGATGCCTCCTGGGGCCCCCACCACTAGGTCTGCCCTCCAGCTGGGCTCTTGGCCTCTAGCAGTGGTGCCCTTGCTGGCCTGGCACACCCATTGTGCTGTCTGCCTTCTGCCCCTGCCTTCCCAAGCCAGCCTCTCCTCCATGAAGCCTCTGCGCCCCCCACCCCCGGCACCTGCCTTCACCCTGGGTCACCCCCACAAACCTGCATTCGCCCCCAAGCCTCCATTCACCGTGGGTCACCCATGCACCTGCCCTCACCCTGGGTCACCCCCACAAACCTGCATTCGCCCCCAAGCCTCCATTCACCGTGGGTCACCCCTGCACCTGCCTTCACCCTGGGTCACCCCTGCGCTTGCCTTCACCCTGGGTCACCCCTGCGCCTGCCTTCACCCTGGATCGTGCACCCCATTCCTGAGTCTCCTCCCCCATCTCCCAGCAGGGTCTTGCCCTCCTGTCCAACCCAGACCCCCGGGGCTGTCAGCTGCCCCACCCCAGCTGGAGTGGGAACATATGTCAGTTGTGAGTGTGCTGGGCTCTGCCGTCCTCTGGGCAGCGGGCCTGCTGGAGGGGACTGGGCAGGAACAGGAGCCCTGAGCAGGCCTGCCTGTCCTGGGAACTGATGAGCTGCTGACAGGAGGCAGCTGGTTTCCAGTGACAGGCAGCCTGGGGCGATGGCACCTGTCGCCGTGCCTGCCCTTCGTTGCTGAGCTGAAGGCAGGGTCTGCACATCTTGGGGGAGCTGGCCAGGCCCCTCCTGGGCTGCAGAAATATGCCAGCTCAGACAGCCTCCGGCCAGGGGCTCCCAGCACATGGCAGCCCCCACACTGGACACCCCCAGCCAGATGGGGCCTGGAGCCAGCCCTGAAGCCTGGGACCCCCCATTCCCAGGCCCGGGGAGGGGTGTCTGTGAATAGCAGTCAGCACATTTCAGCACCCAGGAGACGGGGTCCGTCGTGCGCCCACCTGGGGCTCACTGGCTGTGCGGCCTTGGCCAGGTCCCCATCCTGGCCGGTTTCCATCTGTGGAAACCAGAGGATGTTGGTGTGAGGCCCTAGCACCTTGCCAGAAAGTGAGCACTGGCCCCTCTTTCCTCTCTGCCCCCTGCCCCGTCCCTCCCACCCAGCCTCCCCCCTGGGATGCCCTGCTCTGCTGCTGTAAGCCCCAGCCCCAGCCCTGCAGGTGCCCCTGCCCCAGGGCTGCCCGGAGCGCTCCACCATGGCCTGCGGGGCAGCGGGGTCTGGGACGAGCAGCGAGGACCAGCCCCAGGGCCTCACCTGCAGGAGCCCGGGCAGCGCCCAGTGCAAGTCGGACTCCTGGGCCTGCATGAGCAGAGGGGTCCCCCTGGCCCCTCCTCAGCACCCACTGTGTCTCCGCACACACTCCACCCAGAGGCTCAAAGCCACTGCAGAAGCCCCTCAGAACCAGCCCGGACCCTCCATCTGGATGCCTGGCCACCAGTGGCCGTGCCTTCCGCTGCCTGCTTCTCAGCTGCCAGGGAACGCCAAGGGCTGTCCCGCCTCCCGGCTTCTCTGCGCCCTGCCTTAGAGGGAATTCCCACACGTGTGGGGGGGTGGGTAAGGGGTCTCGTGAAGCCCCCCCCACTTCCCACCAGGAAAGAAAATGCTTCCTTGCTTGCCTCCTTCACTTCCCTTTTCCTTAGAAAACTTTCTTAAAGATGGTTTTGTTTTGTTTTGTTTTGTTTTGTTTGTCCTTAGAATATATCTCACTAAGATTCCACACACAGAACACTGCTTTTTGAGAACTGGTCAGCAGCTGGCTTCACTGCTCCTGTTGGTGAGGCATTCGCACACCCAGGGGGGCACTGCGCACCGCTAGGGCGCCCACTGAAGTCAGGCTCCGGTCCTGCCCCTGCTCCGCGCCCCCCACCCCAGCAGCACATTTGCATTAGTTTGGGGTTTGTCCCGTTGCTTCTCTAAGGAAAGAATGCAAGAGGCCCCCGAGCCCTGTGTGCGACTGGCCCCAGACTCTGCCCTGCGCCTCCTTCGCTCACGTGGCGCCCACTCAGCGAGGGCACCACACACCCAATCCCGCGCTCTCCCTTGTGGCTTCCTGTGGCTGCACAGCCCTCCCAGTGGAGCCCGGAGAATTCAGCCCAGCAATCTCCTTGGATGGGCTTTCGGGGGAGTTTCCAGTCTTTGCTGCCACTGAGCCTAACCAGGGAAAGTCACCCTGTGCATGTGTGACTGTGTTTTCCTAGGGTGTCCTGGGCAGAGCTTTGCTGCAGTGGGACCCAGGGCCAAAGCCAAACGTACTTGTAACTTGGCTGAATGTTCCCAACTCCTTCCACAGGAACTGTGCTATTGCAAATATTTTGTGTGTCTTTTAATCTTGCTCATGGTGTCTTTTGCCCTACAAATGTTTCAATTTATTTAGGCAAATTTATTTGTCTCTGATTCATTGCTTTTGGATGTTGAGTCATAATTACAAAGCTTTTCTCTGCCATAGGTTGTAAAGGAAGTCATCCGATTTTTTTCCAGCACTCGTATGGTCTCAGCTGTGATCCACTTGGCATCTGTTATGAGTGGGCCCAATTTTATCTTTGTCCATGTGGCTATCCAGGTGTCCCAAAGCCATTGGTTGAAAACCTCATCTTCCCCCGACTCACTTGAGAAGCCACGATGATCACATTCCACATGCTCTTGAACAGATTCCTGCGTTTTCTATCCCCCTGGTCTATTTATCTGTAAATGAACTGTTTAATCAAAGAAACTTTACGTATCTCCTGGTCTCCACCTCTGCTGTTTCTGCTCCTCTCCCTGCCTGGCAAGGTGTCATTCTTTGAGACCCAGCACAAATGTCCCCTTCCCTCAGTCACTAAGCTCCAGGCACACTGACCTTTGTCCTGTCCCTCGAACAAGCCACGTTCCAGCCTTTGGCCTCTGGACATGTCAGCTGTTCTGCAGAAGGCCCCCCCCAAGACCTTCACCTAGATGGCTCCTCCACGCCTGAACCTCAGTCCAAACAACACCTCCTCAGAGAAGTCATCCCTTTATGCCAAACTGTCTTCATCCTTTACTGTTTTATTGTCCTCATAGTGCTTATCTGTATCTAAAGTTATTTTACATGTTTGTTTTATGCTACATATACTAGAAGGTAAGATGTATAGAGAACTGACTTAATATGCCTTATTCTGTAATGGATGCTCAGCATCAAGAACAGTAGGGATGAAAGGAGCTCTGTGCACAGTTTTGGATGGATGGATGGATGGAAGGATGGGTGAGTGGACAGAAGGATGGATGGGTGGATGGATGGATGGATGGAAGGATGGGTGAGTGGACAGAAGGATGGATGGATGGACAGATGGATGGATGGATGGATGGATGGATGGATGGGTGGATGGATGGATGGATGGATGGATGGATGGATGGATGGATGGATAGATGGATGGATGGATGGATGGGTGGATCGATGGGTGGGTGAGAGCTCTGTGTAGGGCAGGAGTTGGATCCGACTGTCTCTGCCCCAGCCCAGAGGAGGTAGTTAGTAATGTCTAGCACACTGAAAGGCAAGGTGCCAGAGCGTGAGGTAGCACCCTGGGTGCGAGGGTTTTAGGGGCTTTAGTGGTCTCTGGGAAATGGCGAGGTGATGCATGGGACCTCAGGGCCAAAGGTCTGGTACCTCAGGCTCTCTGAAGCCCATCCTGTCTGGAGCTGTGAGGTTTTCTCTTACCCTAACTTTGGCAGGGGGACCACCTATTGTCTCCTAAGCAGGACCTGGCATTACCTTCCCAGCCCTGACACCAGTAATAGACCAAGTAATAGAATACCCTGCTAAAGTAATAGGACAAGTATAGTGGGCTGTGTAGACTTAACCACTGTGCATTTGGGGACAACACCGCTCTGGATACTGAGGTGAGCATCACCGTGAGACGGTGGCACTGACCCACAGAGGTGTGGTAAGGACTCAGTGAGCTAACTGGCACCCGTGAAACCTCTGGCTCCTATCTGGAGCATAGTAGAGGCTCAAAAGTGAGTGTTGCCACCCTTCCCTACCCCTCCCTTTCCTTTGCCCCCTACCCTCTTTCATTTTTTATTTCTGTGTATGTTTAACAACAAAGTAGAAATACAATTCACATATCATACATTTCACCTACTAGTCTCATTCTGTGTCTCTAGATTCACTTATTCTGGACATTACACATGTGTGGAACCATACAGGACCTGCTCCTTTGTAACTCTCGTCTCCCCTTTGAGTGTTTTCAAGGTTCATCCATGTCATAGCATTTATCCATACTTTGCCCCTTTTTATTGCAAAATAATATTAGTTGCCTGATACCACATTTTATTTATCCACTCATCATTTGGTGGGCAGTTGGGTAGTTTCCACTTTTTAGATATTATGAATAATGCTGCTATAAACATTCCACGCAAGTTTTTGTGTAGGCATATGTTTTCACTTCTCGTGGGTATAGAAGTTCTGGGTCATATGATGACCCTATAGTTAGAATTTTGAAGAACTACCAGACTCTTTTCCAAAGCAGCTGCACCCTTTTACCTTCCTATGAGCACAATCTGAGAGTTCCAATGTCCTCATGTCCTTATCAACACTTGTTACTGTCTGTCTTTTTTCTTGTAGCCATCCTATTAAGTGCAAAGCGCTATCTCATTGTGGTCTTGATTCTCATTTCCTCAATAGTTAATGATGCTGACCATCTTTTCATGTGGTTATTAATCATTTGTGTATCTTCTTAGGCAAAATGTCTATTTAGATCCTTTTTCCAGTTTTTAATTGGGTCGTTTATCTTTTTATTCTTGAGTTTTAAGTTGTTTATATATTCTGGGTACAAGTCCTGTATCAGATAAATGATTTGGAAATATTTCCCCCCATTCTTTGGGTTGTCTTTTCATTTCCTTCATGGTACTATTGGCAGAATGAAAGATCTTAGTTCTGATGAAATCCAACCTACCTATTTCCTTTTCCCACTTGTGATTTGGTGCCATATTGAAGAAATCATTCTTTATTCAGGGTCACAAAGATTGACTCCACACTTTTTTCTTCCAAGAGCTTTGTTGTTTTCTCTCTGCATCACGTCTGTCAATCACTGTGACTTAAATTCCGTGCACGGCGTGAGAAAGGGGTCCGGCTTCTTCTTTCATGTGTGGATATCCAGTGGTCCTAGTACAGTTGTTGAAATGTTCTTTTATAAGTGGCCTTGGGTTTTTTTTATGATTCAAAAAGTAATACATACTTTTTAGAGTGCTTGAATATTTTGAACAACAAAAAGAAGTAAATTAAAGTGAACAATAAGTCTGCCATCTAGAGATATTTCAGAGCCCATCACTTGGAGTTAGGAGGCTTTATGTAAGAATGAGATTATCTCTTGTCTCGCTGTGCTAGTTTTGGTCATTTTAAAAGGCTTCATAGTGGTCTTGTGGCTGGATTTGCCATATATTCACTCCTCTGTTATTGGAAATTAGGATTTTTAATATTTTATCTTACAATCAGAGCTGTTGCTAATGGACCAAATATGTCCTATGAGATGAGGATATCATTAAACCATGGTAATTTGGTGAACTTGCTTAAAATAAATAATATTTGTTGCATTGTTTTAATTAAAGTAGTACATGTGTATAAACTCAGAGGCTGCAGAATAGTGGAAGGTGGAAAAAGCAGTCACAGTTCCCCACCTAAAGCCACTCTTAAAATGCCAGTGTGTCTCCTTCTGTTCTTTTCCTGTGTGTGGCTTGTTTGCTGCCTGAGGGTGGGTTTCTTCTATGAAGTGGGGTCGTACCGTGCATTACAGGACATCTTATACAAACCACCATATACAGTCCATGATATTCATGTTTCGCTTGTCTATTATATAGGTATACATGTTTGTGCAAAAGTGTTTTTCTTTCTTTACTTAGGATTATTTTCTTGAGTTTGCAAAGAAAAAGTACTTCTTAAAATAGAGTGGAATTACCAGATTAAATAGCAAGAAACAGTTGAGTTTCTTGCCACAGTGCCATCCAAAATAGTTCTACTAATACAACCCAGCCCAATAATGGATAGCTTTTTTTCTTAAAGCCATAACTATAATAACATTTTTCTTTCATTTGATTTTATGATGATCTTCCTATAGCTTTCTATATGCTTACTGATAGGTTAGAGTTCTTTTATATAAACTTTTTGTCAATGTGCATCCTTAGGATCTCCTATTGGGATCACTTGTTACTGGCTAGTCATTACATTTGCCTGATATTTACATATAATACTTTTCCTAGTCTGGTTTTTGTCTTTTGCTTTTGGTTATGTAGCTGTTGAGCGTAAAGAAATCTTCAATTTGTCATCATATCTATTGATTTTTCTTTTTACCTTATCCTTTGATTTTAAAATGGGAAAAATTTCCCCATCCAAAGATCTAATATTTATATCTGCCTTCTTCAAGATTTTTATTGTTTTATTTTTATTGCGTTTAACTTTGTAATCCTTCTACAGTTTACTTTGCTGTATGATGTTTTGCTGGGCTTTTTCCCTCCTTCAAAAATGTCTAGTTTGGTAATTCATCAAGTATTCTTTGTCTTCTGCATTCACGCCCATTTTGGCTTCACTGTGCCTTCAAGCACCTGTGTGCAGTGAACTCTGCTGTCTTGGTCCACCTGCCCCACCCCAGCCCCACCCTGGCTTGTATCTAAATGCATAAATCTTGCCAGTGTGCCTGCTCTTTAAATATTTTTATGTTTTGAATAGATACAATGTACAAGTGGCCCAGAATCATTAGGTGAATATCCTTTAGTGACAGGCCCACCTCCCTGCCCATCTCCTAGGCCTCAATTTCCTTAAGATCCTGGAGTCATCCTTACTGTTTTAATCATTGGCAGGATTAGTCCTTCCTTGTCAGTTTTTTGTTTTTTGCCATTTCTATATATTTGATCTTCCCTATTAACTTAGAACTGTTTTTTCAAGTCCTCCCTTCTTCCAGGTGCCCTGAGAACGGAGCAGAATCAAGCCCGCCTGTCCACTGGGGAGAGCTGGTGTCTGCGGGGCACCCGCCTTCCTGTCCAGCTGTGCGGTGTGGGCTTCTCTGTGCGGACCCCCCCTCACGGTGCGGGATAGTCCTCATAGAAGTCCAAGAATTCTCTGGCTAAGGCTTTTCTTGGGTGATTTGTTTCTGTGGCCAGTTTGAATTGAATTATTTTTCTCTTATAGTTTCCAAGTTATTTCTGGTATTAGGAAAAACATAGATAGAATAAACGGATATGGATAGAGATCATATGTGCACCCATTTCTATTCAGAATCCTATCGGAAGGATCTTTAAAATGCATTTTCTGCCGAGTCTCCAACAGATAAACTGTTCAGAACATACCCCTCTTCTCAGCCTCTGCGCACTGTCTCCTCGCCCCGTCCCGCTCCAGGCACGGGACCCTCGCGGCAGGCAGCAGTCTCCTGGTTCTCCTGGCCTCCCTGATTCACCCCCGAGCGGGACGATTCGGCTGATGCCGCGGACTCTCCGAGCTGTGGTTTCTTGCCCAGAGAGAGAAGGGCTGGGCTGCAGTTCCTTCTTGGACCTGGAGCTGGTTTTGAGGACCCCTGTGGAGCGTCCAGGGGCTGCGCAGAGGTGGCCCCTGGCCCAGTCTCCAGGGATCCTCTCCTGTCAAAGGTGTCCGCGGCAACCTTCAGGGTACTGTTTCTCCAAAGATGCACTCTCCTGGCACACAGCCCGCCGAGGCTCCCACTGAGATCTGCGGGCCCCAGGGAACTGCACCCCCAGAGTGCTGCTGGGAAACTGGACACCAGCCTGCGGGAAGGGCTTATGGTGGCTGGGGGGACACACAGATGTGGAGCATTGTTTGAGAACCAAGCACTCAGCTGCTCGCTGCTCAGGTGGCCGGTGCTAGCTTGTCACAGGGTTTCCAGGGTTGGTCCCTCTGCCCACCTGTCAGGACGCAGCCCCACAGGCAGTGGGAGGGAAGGCCTGGCCTCAATAGGGCTGCAGGCTGGACAGGCACCAGTGAGGATGGACACCTCGCCCCCCCACACACACACATACAGTACACACACTACACACACTCACATGAGACCCAGGGGTCAGGGTCCCCGTGCTGCCCTGCCCCCGGCGCTGCAAACACCCCTTCACCCCATGTCTGGGTGGGGGCCTGGCTGCTCTCCCAGCCGAGGGCGGCAGGGTCCCCAGGCACATGCACACACACACTCCACCTGCAGACCGGGTGCTAATCACACACACATCCCCCCAAGCAGGACATGCCGTGGTTACAAAGAAGGTGACTGGAGTGAGGCAGGGTGACTGGAGAGGGGGCAGACCAGCACAGGGACCCCAACCCCTGGGTCTCATGTGCATGTCAAGGCCTCAGCCTCGAGGGCCAATGCCAGGGCCCCCACCCCACATTTGACAGGCCAGCACCCCCCTATCCTGGTAAATGGGGTCGTGGTTGTGCTCACTGGTGACCTCCCGCCACTGAAGGGAAGGTCATGTGTCAGGTTGCACCAGGTTCAGGCAGTGTGTCCCCACTGGAACCGGTCCCGGAGCTCAGCTGGATGAAGGGCAGCCTGCCATTGCTCCCCACAAAGGGTTCCTCTGCCCCTTCCCGCCCCAGGCCGGATGTTGGGGCTGTGCCCTGGGCACTGGTCTGGGAGACCCAGCCTGCAGGGGCAGAGCCCGGCCCTACCTGAGTCAGTCTGACACCAAAGGCCACATGAAGTCATCAGCTGCGTGGCGAAGCACCCCTTCTCAGTGTGGCGGGACACACACGGACTCTTTCGCGGCGTCTGTGGGCCACAGTCTGGCACAGCCTCCTGGCTCCTGAGACTGCAAGGCACCAGCGGTCTGAGCCCTCATCTGGAGGCTGGACCCAGAAAGACTTGGCCTCCAGCTCCCCGGGTGGCCGGCAGAGTTCATTCCCTCCTGGTCACAGGACTGAGGGCCCAGATTCCTGCTGGCTCTGGCAGGAGCCCTCGCACCTAGAGGCCACCACAGCTCCTGGCCATGTGGCGTCTCCGGCACAGATCTGTCCCCAGTCTGCTGAGACCCCAGGAGTGGCTTCCGCCACCTGTGCGTGCCCTCTGGGTTGGAAGCCAGTGTCAGGCCTGCCACTCAAGGGGAGGGGATTTCCCGGTGGGTGCCTGCAAGGGGACATCTCAGAGCCTGTCTGCCAACCCTGCTGGCACTGCCCCCTCTGTGGCACAGGCCCCCTTTCCAGTTGCCCCGCCGCACTCCAGTTGCCTTCTTTATAACCATGGCATCTTTTCTGAGCCCGATGGTTGGGTCTGCTGAGACCCTCCTGCACGGAGGCCACCCCTGCTGCAGTCCCTGTGTGCACTCGTGTGGCCCCCCGGGTGCATGGCCCCTCCGTCTACGGGCACAGCCCGGGGAGGTCCCTCCCGGGGAAAGGCTGCCCAGGCCCCCACCCTGGCTTGTTTGACCTGCTGGCCCCACCTGTGAGCCTTCCTGGGAGAGGCGTTATGCTCCTCCCAGGTCGGGGAGGGAGCTGGGGCCATGGCTCCCAACTGAATGCTTCCCTGTCTGCCATTTGGTCTGAGCTGGGACAGAGCCAAGCAGGGCCCTGCCCAGAAGGATAAGGGGTTCTTGTTTCCGCTCAGCCCCTCACCAGCTGCCCGGCTCCCCTCCCCGGGCCCCCCACCCCGCCTGCGGATCCGTGGGAGTTTCTCTGGAGGCGATCCCAGATTCTGCCTTCAGGGCCTAGGGCAGTTCCTGGCACAACAGCCAGAGTTCTGCCCCAGCCTGGCTGACCCCCGGGGGAAGCTCTTCCATAGTGAAGGGACTGTACCAGGTTGCTCTGGCTGGGGGGCCCACAGAGCTGCCTTGAGGACCTGCCCATCGCCTCTGCGGGACCACTGGGTCCACCTGTCAGGTGTCCTGCCCCGCCCTCCCACCGCCACTGGGCCGGCCAGTCAGATACAGCCACCTCCCTACGCCAGCCCACAGAGAACCCAGAGGGTGGAGCCCTCACCCCTGAGGCCGAGTGGCTCGCGGAGAAGAGGCACCAGGCCTGGGGAGTCCCCAAAAATGTCCTCAGGCACCAAGGTACAGCCTGCAATGCTGGGCGCCTCTGGGCTCGCGACAAAAGTCCTGGACCATGAAGGAAGGTCCCCCAGCCCAAGTTCATGACCCACTCCAGGCCAGCTCTGGGTCACCCAGGAGATCAGAGTCCCAGGTCTCGAGTCCCAGGCCTCGGGGAGCTCTGCCGTCTGTGCCGGGTGGCCTGGCCCCCCTAGAGAGCGGCCCTCACACAGAAGGAAGCCAGGGGACTCGGCTGGTCCCCCTCACGGCCTGGATCCCAGAAGAGCCAGCCCTTCGGCCTCCCCCAAGTGCCTGGGTCCAGGGCAAAGTGGGCGGCCTGGCCAGCAGGCTGGGGGCCGTGGTCCTGCTGGGCTGACTCAGCACCAGTGTGAGCAAGCCCCTGTCGTGGGCGCGCCTGGCCACTCAGCCCCCAGGCGATAGGATGCCGTGCCCAGGCTGGGAGGGGATGTGGTGACCCTGCGGGGAGAGCATTCGTAAACTGAAGCCTTGTGGTTCGGGGGGACCGTGGTGCCCCGCCTCCCAGTACTGCTGGGACCAGGTCCACAGGGTCCTGGGGGAGACCCCCAGCCTCCCTTCCTGCCTGACTCCCTCCCACTCACATTCTTCCTCGTGGTTTAAAGAGCAGCCGAGTTAAGTGCAGAGAAGGAGGCGGCTGTCCTCTCTCCCCCCACCGCGCCCCCAGGGTGGAGGGCTCTGGGGGCTGCAGTGCCAGCAGGTCTCAGTTGACTGGCCCCTGACTGCCTGCTCAGCCGAGACCCACCCCAGACTGGACTTGGGCTTCATAGAACATTCGAGGAGACGGGTCAGGGTTAGGTGCGGGCCGCTCCATTAATCATAATTGATTTAATTAAGAAGATAAGAAATACAGCTCATCAAAGATTTAATTATAATTAGCAGCAAACAACACTTGGATGAGTCAATGACTCAAGTGGGTGCTAGTTCCCATTTCCCTGTCCAGAGCACCTGGGAAATCAAAACACCCCAAGAAGGCTGGGGGCAAGGGCCGCCGAGGTGAGGGGTGCAGCTCTGACTGGCCCCAGGGAGGCTCAGAGGGGCTGAACGTGCACAGCTGGGCCAGCCTCGGAGCGTGGCCCCTGCGTGGCCCCTCGGCCAGCAGGGTCCCGGCCCACATCCGTGCACAGGAATGTGCCAGGGGCAGCCCAGGCCTCTGTCCTTTAGCAGCTCGTTGCCTGCAGAGGCCCCAGGCCGCCTGCGTGGGGTCAGAGCGCTCGCAGGGCCTGGGTGAGACCTGGGCACACGAGCCGTTTTCCCGAACATCCCTCGTCTGATGAAGCCTGTGTGGAGGGAAGGTCTGTCCATGAAGCGCCCTCTGCCCCTCTGGTTCCGCAGTGCTGTGGCCAGAACCACCCCGAGGACCCCACAGAGCCACCCCCACCCAAGCCCCAGGCCTGCATGGATTGCATGCTGAGGTCTGCGGCTCTGTAACCTGCTCCAGGGGAAAAATTCTGGGCCTCTGGGCTCAAAGCCAGGAGGGTGCAACAAATGGATGAGCAGCAGGCAGTGGTCAGAGGCGAGGTCCGGAACCCCCAGGTCACAGCTGCAGGATGGGGGTCTGCTGGGGGTCCGCCAACCCAAAGGCCCAGCCCAGATCCCTCTGTCATCAATGACGCCGGAAGTCTCCAGTATTAGAAAGCCTGTTTGGAACCATCAGAGCCCCAGGACGTGGCCGTCTCCATGGAAGCCATGGACACATGGCCTGTTTTAGGGCCTGGGGCTCCCGTCGCAAATGATCACAACCTGGGTGCATTAAACAGCTCTGGATTCCAGAAGTCTGGGATTAAGGTGTAGGTAGGGCCCTGATCACTCCGGAGGCTTGGGGGGCCCCTTCCTGCTTCCTCCAGCTCCTGGTGCCTCCCGGTTCCCTGGGCTTGTGACAGCCTCACTCCAGTCTCCACCTGCATTGTCACATGGCCACTCTCCTGTCTCCGTGTAAACCTTCCTCTCCTTATAAAGACATCTGTCATTGATTTAGGGCCCGCCCCAATCCAGGGTGATCACATCCTGAGATCCTTATTGCATCTGCAAACACCAAATAAAGTCACATGCATAGGTACCAGGGATAATGACGTGGGAGACACTAAGCTGTGTGGCCTGCTACAAGTCACTGCCCTTCTCTGAGCCTCTGCTTACCCATGCATGAGCCTCTGTCAGGGATGCCTGGAGTGGTGCCTCCCTGAGCAGGCATCCCAACCTGTGGATTCCAGGGCTCCCTGGGTGCTGGGACCCAAGCAGAGTCACAACAGGTGAACCAGCTGGTCGGGAGTAGAGGCTGTGCGTTGTATCGGGGGCTCTTCAGTGCACAAAGCGCCCCAGCTCCCACTGGCAGAGGTGACCTGTGCCTCACCAAGTGAGGCACAGGCCCCCCCTCACCCTGGGGGGCAGGACAAGGTCAGTTCCAAGGGTCCTTCCGGGTCTCAAACCAAGATACCCTCTCTTCACTGCACCTCCATCCAAACTGAAAGAGATCACAAACCCAATTAGCCGAAGATTAAACAGGAATTGATTTTAATTCAGAGCCCTTTGAGCGCTCTCCTTCCCTGATGGGAGGCAGTGGGCTGGGGCCTGCTTCCCCCATCGCCCCGCCTGCCGTCTGATTGAATCTTCAGTCCCAACCGGGCTCCTCCTGATGAGGTCGGCTCCTCTCATTGTCTCACAGTGATTACCAGGCTTGGCCCACCACTGAGGGGGAGACCTGATTTCCTCCGTTCCAGCCTTGTGTCGTCACTCTGGTGAGCCTTCCTCTGATCTCCAGCTGTCAAGCCCAGGGCCCATCACAGCGGCTCTGAAACAGGCACATGGACACTCACCTCCCCATCCGGGGGTGGGACACGGAATGTCCCCCACCTGAGCACTTCTCGGGAGGCCAGCCGTCCCTGTTTTGGGAGGAGGGCCCAATTTCGGATACCCCAGCTGAGAGATTCTTGCCTGTTAACTAGGCTCATGACCTTGAGAAGGTCAAGTTTGACTTTGAGGAGGAGAATCAGGTGTGTTTGGGGAGAACCCAGAGGTGAGCCTCAGTGCCTGAGAGCCCGAGTCGCAAGGATCCCCCGCAGCCAGGGTCCCTGCGCTGTCCTCAGATGCCACCAAGCAGTCAGGGGTGCCAGGACAGGCCTGCCCCTCAGACCCAGTTTACAAGGGGTGTGGCTCTTCATCCCCAGGCCCCTCGCCCTGTTCACCCACACATGCCAGCTGGCCGTGGAGCAGGCTGCCGGGGTCACTGCCCTGCAGGCCAACGATCCACAGGGCCAAGCCCTGGGCAGTGCCCAGAAACCCTACCACCTCCCCTGCAGAGCCTCAGCCTGACTCCCTCCCCACCGAGAAAATCAAGGCCCAGTGGCACCTGCTCACCAGCCCAGGCAGCAGAGGAGGGCCTGTCCTCCCAGCCAGCGCCCACTGAGCCCTCGTTCCCAGCCCTGCGCCCCCGGCACTGCAGGTACCCCAGGCAGCCTTTCTCAGCACCATCCCGCCCGCTGTCTTCACCCCCCCACCGGCCTCTCCCTCCAGTCCTCATGGTCAAGCTCCTGGAAGGAACCACCGGGCACTCTGTCCCCCTCCCCCACCTGGTGACCACCAGCTGAGGCCACTACCACCAGGCATCCTGGCCTCGCTGTCCTCTCTGGAGCTCATGCCTGGTTTAGATCAATGTAAGAACCACTCTCTCTTCTCTGCTCTCAGACTGGAGCCTGGAATTTGAAAGGTTGTCTTTTAGAAATGATTATGAAGTGTGTATTTCATTTGATCCAAGAGTTTCAACACAGCATCTTCTGCCTGGAGCTTAGAACCATGAAGCATTGAACTGGAAGGACCTGCAGGGACCACCTGGCCTGAAACATTGCAGCAAAGGATGTCACTATGCAATAAGAGGGGAAAATAGTGACTGCTAATACAGAAGCTCAAACTGGGGCCCAGAGAGGGGCAGCAACTCACTTAACCACACACAGCAGCTTAGCTGGGTTGGAACTCAGCACCCATAGTCCCAATGCCCTGGATCAGTGCCACCCTGACATGGTCCCTGTGTCACTGAACCTCAGCCTGGCTCCATGGCAGTGCTCCACTCCATCCTTACAGCTGCCAGATTCACAAGACAGGAGCAGGTTTTGTGGCTGTGTTTCTAACTTGATAAAAAAGTAAAGTGCTTTTAAGGACACTTAATTCTCCTTAGAGCCTACCTTCTGCAGCCTGTGAAGGAAAAGCCCTGATTTCTGCCCAGAGACACATTCCTGTCAATACCTGGGATCCTGCATGCTCGTTTTGATCCTGAATCTTAGCAAGTCCCTTCTGAGATCAAAGCTGGTGAGGTGGACAGGCCCCTTTGAAGTTTACTGGGACTTTCTGAGACACAAGTCCTGGCAGCCACAGCCTCTGCTTCGAGTGCAAACTGCCTCGGAGCAAGGCTTTTATCTTTATAAATATTTCTTCAAGGGAGCCCTCACCAGCCACCCCTAGAAAGGCCGCATGGAATGGCCACATGGGGTCTCCACACACCCACCCTTCATTCCCCGAATTTCCTCCCACACTGGGCCTCCCCGAAGGCCCATGGTGCCGGAGGGACTGTGAATGTGGCAGCAGGCACAACACCCAGGCTGCCACCTGCGTCCTGCAGCCGATTTAGCTTATTGAGGGTAGCTCTACACCTGGAGCTTTCTACGCCCATCTCTGCCGCCTGGAGAGATAGTCTGCCTGGGAAAACGCTGCAAAAGGGAAAGCGGAGCAGGGGAGGGAGCTCTGATAACCTTGTCTAACCTCCTGGATCCAGCTATGCCTGAAGCTTGATTGCCCCTCACATTTTCCAATTCTATGACCCAATCAATCATTCCATTTTTTTGAGCAAGTTTTGAGAAAGGTGTCTGTCACTGGGACACAAAAGATGCCTAACCACTCAACAACGGCCTCTCATAGGTGCTAGATGTGGGTAGCTGGCTCCCTGCCTCCTAGACAGAGCAAAGTGGTCCAAGGAGCTACTCCTCTGGGGTCCCAGAAGCTCCCTCTGCCGGGGCCTGGTCTGCAGGGGGACTGGGCCTTACAATGCCCACAGTGTGGCCCTGGTGACATAGGGAGCAGGTCATGGCTTGGAGAGCACAGCAGGTGGTGGCACCCCCAGGAGGGGGCCCCCCTGCTGAAAAGGGCCTCCCCAAAAGGAGCCACCCACCTTGCTCTGGCCTGACTGGCTGCTGGCCCCCAAGAGACTTCGTGAAGCAATGCGGCTGTGAACTGGGGTCACAGTTCTCCTTGGATATCTGCATCAGGAGATTCTTTGGGGCCCACAGGAGTTCCAGACACGTGCAAGGGCCGCTCAGCTCAGCCTGGCCTCAGTGGGTCTGCCACCTGCCGACGGGCACAGAGCCGCCTGACATGCGGAGCGGACCGTGCCGGTCGTCTCCAGCCACACCCATGAGCGTCTGCCGGCTGTCCTGCATCCTGTTTCCTGCGTGTGAGCTCACACAGTCCCGGCTGACTCGGGCCCGGGGCTCACCCGCCTCCCAGCCACACACACAACCACAGACGTCATTGGACCCCGCGGCCCCTGGGTTTGAAGCCAAAGAGCCTGGAAGGAGCCAAGGATAGATGGCTGTCCCAGGACTGCAGGGGGACATGGAGGTATGGCCGGCCATCCGCGAACACCGGGGCTCAGGCCGCCCTATTTTGAAAGCAAACACATGATGAATTCATCCCTTCCCTTACCCTCCTCCACCTCCCCTGTGAAATCTATTTTAAAAGATCAGAATTTTCTTTACATCCACCTCCAAAATGCGCTGCAAGAGTAACTGGGACAAGAGCAGATTGGGGGTGGGGGAAGCCAGAGGGTTTGCAGTCCCTGGGGGTCTGATTCACAAGAGCCCCCATTCCCGGGAGCGATGGCAGACAAGCAGCATCCTGGGGGACACACAGCGCTCCCAGGCCCGCACACCTCCACCGGGGGCTGGGGTTGACCCGGCCAGAGCTGTGGGGGGCAATGGGCCCTGTGCCCATGGAGCCTGGCACCTGGGTGCCCCCACTTTGCACTCGGATCCCTGCTTGCCTTGCTCACCCCTCAGCCCAGCTGAGTGGGCCTGTTGGGGTGACTGAGTGTGACCTCAGCTCCCGGCCCGGCCTGGGGCCCCACCTCCTGTCTGGGCCCCTGCCTGGTGTTGACTCCACACCCCTCCCAGCAGCCCCACTCCCCGCTCCCCAGCCTCTCCTGAGGGGAGTTGCCCAAATAATCTGAGAATCCGGAGAAAGCTGTCAAGGCCGGCCTGGGGAGTGGCGCAGCCCAAGCCAGCCCTGCCCAGAGGACGGCTGATGGCGGAGTGGAATCCCTTCCTCACCGACCGGAGCCAGTCTGTCGTGCCCCTCCACCCAAGTCCCGCTGGAGGCCCACCATCTGGTCAGCTGGCACCCCATGATCACCCCCCAGCCAGGGAGGCCCTGGTGCAGCCCTCACCCCTCCATCCCATCTGTGGACGTCTGGACGGAACTCAGGTGCTGGAGGGACGGCAGTGGGCCAGTGTCCCCCCACACCCTGGCGCTGGTCACCCCAGTTGGTTAGGCTGGGGGTCAACCTGGGCCTGGCTGCTTCCTGCTCAGGCCCCGCAGGTCAGAGAGCTGACATCCTGCTGCAGGGGCCACACTCCTTGAAGGAGACCTGGGGAAGTGGGGAGGGAGCCCCTTCCTGCACACCTGCCCCTCCAGGCTGGCCACCAGCTGGCCGCTGTCTTTACAGGCCTGGCCCGCGGCATCTGGGGCCAGTCCTGCCCAAGGAGGAAAGCACATTAGCAGCCCCCACTGGCGGGCAGGTTGGGGGAGACCTGGGGCACCCTGCCTCACTTCCTTTCTGGACCCCTAGAGCCCCATTGGGCCCAGCCCCATCACAGGGCCTGGTCCATCCAGCTAATGCCTCCATTTCCCGCTGGGAAGGGAGCCCTGCTGGGCCTGGTCTGTTGGGCAGAGCCACACCGCAGTGCCCCAGCCACAGACTCCGCTGGGTGTTCACTGAGCGGCATGCCCTGCGCCACCCCAACTAATCAGACGAATCGCTCTGATGAATCAGAACCCCAGGGACTGAAAATCCTCGGTGCCCTGTGGTCAGATGCCCATCTCAGCTCTTCCTCCCAGGCCCACCTCTTCCAGGAAGCCTTCAGGATAACCCCACCACATGGTGACATCTCCCTCTGAACTGTGGGACTAGGGCCGACCGCAGCCTCTTGGAACCCTTGTCCCGACACACAGACACCCCCGCTTACACGTCTCTTCTCATGACTTGCGTCATGGCCGTGTGTGAGTCCTGGCCCTTCAAGACCACGCCTGCTGTTGGCTGGCCCACGAAGCTGACAACAAACCTCTCAAGGCCCCAAACCTGCCTCTGGCTGGCCCCACAGCTCAGGCCTGTGCCGCGTCCTGCCGTGCGTCTGAGCGCACAGTAGGGTGCTATCTGTGCTCGGTGAATGAGCGTGTCAGGGCGCCTGCGGATCTCTCACACTGGAGACAGGACACACTGTGGGAGGGGACTGGGCTGGGAGCCCCCATCCCCAGGCCAGCAAGACTGGTAATGGCCATGCAGGCCTGTCCCACCACATGCTCTCCTGCCACACGGCCAGGCTGGCCCCAGCCCCCAAGATAGATGGTGAGCACCTGGCACTGCAGTCCACCTACCTGCTTCGCTCCTTCAGCAGGGGATCCCAGAAACCCTTGGGGCGCCCTGCGGCCTGTAGAGGGCAGAGTGTGCCCACTGGGTGCTCTGGGCCTGGGGCCAGGCCCTTCACCAGCCACAGCAGGTGGCTCCTCAATGGGTACCTCCTGGGTCCGGCCCGAGCACTCCCAGCTGTGGTCTGTCAAGGAGAACCCCCCAGAACCTCCTGGCTTTGGTGAGCTGGGGACAGCCTGCTGGGGAGCTGGCGCCTCTGAGACCTGGGCCTGTCTGGCCCCTTCCGACCCCTTGGCTGCCTTCATGGGGCCGAGTCGGGGGCAGCAGCTATGGACGTTCAGGGTCCTGGGTGGAGCTGGGTGCAGGTCCTGGGGACTAAGCAGAGCCAGGTGAGCCTGCAGCATCTGTGTGGAGAGGCCTGGAGGAGGGAGAAGGCCAGCAGCGGGGCACCCCGAGTGTCCTGGGCCCGTACAGGCAAGTGACCGGGGCTGAGCCAGGACAGCAGGGGTGCCAGGCCGGCCTTGGGAGGGGACACCTGCCTTGTTCAGTAGCCAAGGGCTCCCACAGCCCAGCTTGTGCCCAGGCTCTCCTGGACAGCCCTGCCTGAGTGCTGGTCAGGGTTAGCCAGGCAAGCCCAGGCCCTGGGCCCCAGCACACGGCCCCTGCTCTGGGCTCCGGTCCTGGGCCACAGCCCGGCCCTTAGAAAGAGCCCTGTCTGCAAGGCCCCGTGGAGGTGGGGGGGGGGGTTCCCCACAGCCCCTCATCCTGAGCCCCCGACGGAGGACATTGGGGACGTGTCTAACGCTCCCCGCCAAGCCACGCTTCTGCCAGATGACAGTGTCCCAGCCAGCGAGGCAGACGGAGGGCCCACCTCGTGCTCCCGACCACACTGCTAGCAGCGTCCCCTTCAAGGCCACGGGCAGCCGGCAGCCTGGCCTGGGGCCACGCCAGGCCCTTCTGGGAAACGGACGCACGATCTATTTTTACCCTCTGACAACAGGCGCAGCCGATGTGACTTATCTCTGCTGCCCACAGGCTGCCACAGAGGCGGCCCTGTGCCCGTGGAACCGGCCCCACCCGCACAGTCCCAGCTGAAACCGGTGCGTGGGCGCGGGGCATCGGGGAGCCACCAGCGGCCCCACCACCACCCCTCTGGGGGGCCCAGGCGCCTGAGTCAACACCTCCAGAAAGGCCCAGGCATCCCGGGACGTTTCTCATGAGCCTGTGGAGGGTCCTCACTTCTTCAGGCAGCATCGCCCGCTGACCTCGAGGGGTACTCTCCAGGCTGCCAGGGCAGGGTCAGTCTTTCCAGGGGGTCTCTGCTCCAGCTCTCCATGGCCAGGAGACCCCCAGGAGCCCCTCCTGGTGTCAGAGGGTCTGGAATCGGGCTTAACCTCCCACTCAACCCAGGCCCTCCTGCTGGGAGAGATGACGCTCCCTCCCCAGGCCTGAGTAGAAGTGAACATAGCATGAAAATGGGAACTGGGGGGCGAGGGCAGCACGTGCAAGGACCGAGCAGGGTGAGGGGCAGCGGTGTGGCTTGGGTAATGGCTGTGGCGGCCTGCCTGGGGCCAGCCATGTCCTTCTGCAGCTGCCCCAGTGGTGCTGGTGCTCGGCAACGACAGGAAGCCTGCTGGAAACCTCAGAAAGCCCCAGGGGAAGACGCCCAGCAGCCCTCCCCATGGCTACCCAGGAGTGAGCAAGCTCCTGCCCGTCTGGGCGAGCTGGGGGTGCCACCCTGCAGGCCCCGTAGTCCCCGTCAGGTGCCCTGACGACCCTGGCTGAGGTCTCAGAGGACCCTTGGCTGCCACTCCCCTGCCCAGAGCATCCCCAGGCTGGCCCCAGCCGAGCCCGCCAGGTGAGGCTCAGGGCACCCCTCCAAGGCCCACACTGGGGGCACCAATCCCACTGGCAGATAGTGCCGGCCACGCCTGGGCAGGGGGACCAGGCAGCCTGGAGCTCTGTCTCTCAGAGGGGCGCTTTGGCAGGGCGGTCCTCCTCACGTCAGATCAAAGCCTGCCTCGGGGCTTGTCTCCAGACACCTTCTCTGGTCCACTGCAAGGTGTGACCCCCCATGGTGCAACTCCTGCCTCATAAGTCAGGGCCACGGGAAGGACAGGGACCCTTCACTCGGGCGCCTTCAAGGCTGCCATGAAGAGAGAGGCAGCCAGGTGGTCTCGGCACCACAAACGTGAGGGGGGGACAGCAGGGAGCCGGGCCCTCCGGACTTAGCAGAGGCGGCCCCTCTCGGCCACCAGAGCTTTCCTGGCACCGGTGACGCCCACCACGGCGAATCCAGACGCAGCAGCAACTGAAGCTCATGCCAAAGAGAAAGTTTATGTGCCATGTCCACGGGACAAGTGCCCTCATTCTGTCATTGGGAGGCCAGGTCAAGTTACAGGACACTACACATATACAGATGGCGTCATTGTCACCACTCTTCTGGAAGCAACTTCCACGTGGGGCAGAATGCACATGAGCTCAGTGCACAGCCGGGTGAGTCTTGATAACTGGGTGCACCCCACAGTCACCCCACAGTGGAGACACAAAACGTGCTCTCTCCTGCCCCCTACCAGGCCCATCCTGCAGGCAGCCTCTGTTTTGATTTCTGTCACCATTCGTCAGCATCACCTCTTCTTGGACTGCACCTAAATAGAATCACACAGGGGGCATTGTTCTGTGCCTGGCTTCTCCCTTAACAAAGCCCCGAGGCCCTTCCATGTTGTCAGCATCCTTCAGGGCCCAGGAGTGCCCCGCTGGGTGGGTATTCAAGCTGTCATTCAGCTGTTGGCTGTTATCAAGGAAGCTGCTGGAACACCCTTTCACAAGCCTCCCTCTGGGCACTCCTTTTCCTTTCTCTTGTGTAAATATCTGGAAGTGAGATCTCTGAGCCATCAGGCAGATAGGTATTCAACTTTATAAGAAACAGCCAAATGGTTTTCCAAAGTAGCTTTGCAAGTTTACAAGCCCCCCACAGGGCGAGAGTTCCAGGTGATCCACAGCCTCGTCATCAGTGATTCTCCACCGCTGCCACCGAGCGGGTGAGAGATGTGAGGTCACATCCCTGATGACTGAAGGTGTCTAGCGATTTCTAGTGGTATTTATTTTTGTTATTGATTAGTAGGGGCCTTTATATATTTAGGATAAAAGTCCTGTGTTAGATAAATGTACTGTGATCTTTTCTCCCAGTCTGTGGATTGAATTTTATTTCCTTAACAGGGTCTTTGCATGAGCAAATGTTTATAATTTTAATGAAGTCTGATTCACCAATGTTTCCTTTGCTGTGTATTGCTTTTTGTGTCTTTTCTAGAAAAACCATCTCCTATGTTTTCTCTGATAAGTTTTATAGTTTCAGCTTTTATACATTGGCCTATGATCCGTTTCTAATCTGTGTGTGTGGTGTAAGTTAAAGTCGGAAGTTCAACTTTTTTCTCCGTTTATATACTTGTTTCAGTTATTTGTTGAAAAGATTTTCTTTTCCTGATTACATTGCCTCAGCAACCTGGTAAAAAAAATCAGTTAACCATTGGCTTCACAACATTGTGTCACCTGGAAAATGGTCAATTTTATGTCATCTGAAGTTCACCTCTATTTTAAATTAAGCAATTGCCACATGCACGTGTAAGCTGAGCCTTCTGTTCAGCCCCATGGAGCTACATATCTACACTAATACCAATTTCCCACTCTTTCAAGTGCTGGACCTGCACAGTTAGTCTAGAAATTAGGTAGCATTGTCCAACTTTGTTATTCTCCAAGATTCTTGGGCTATGTGTCATTCTTTGCACTTTCACATGCATCTCAGTATTAAGAGTAAGTTTCTATAAAATGACTCAGCAATTTGTTTGGGAATAATCAATTGGCAATTGGCAATGGAAAGAACATTTCAACAATACTGTCTTACACTCCAGGAACAGGGTTATCTCTGCATTTACTTACATCTCCTTCAATTTCTCTCTGCAATGTTTTATGGTTTTTAGCAGAGAGGTTTAATATACTTGGTTGTATTTATTATATAAATAATAACTTTTATAAATTATTTAATTTTTATTTATTCATAAATTTTTGTAATTATAAAAATAATAGCAATAAGAAATATTTTATATTTTTGATGCTATTTTAATAAGAGTTTTTAATTTGATTTTTCCAAGTATTTGCCACTGTATGTAAAAATGTAATGATTGTGTATGTTGACTTTGTACTCTGTGAACTTCTAAATTCACTTATTATATCTAGAGTAGTTTCTTGTGGTTGATTCCTTAAGGGTGTCCCATGGAAACAACGACAATGGCTGTAAATAAAGACAGTTTTATGTCTTTATTTCCAAACTTCATGACTTTCATGTCTGACTGCCTTATGATCCCAGCTAGAACCAACGGTACAACATATATGGAATGGTGAGGACACACACCCTTGCATAATTCTTGCATATTTCCATCAGGGGAAAAACACTCAATATTTCAGTGGGGCTAACTGCAAGTACTCCATAGATAACCTTTATCAGCCTGAGGAAGTTTCCTCGTTGCTACTTTGTGGGGATTTTTATCATAAATGGATGTTGAGTGTTGTAAAATGCTTTTTCTGTATCTGTGAAGATGGACCTTAATTTTCCTTTTCTCCTTCAATATGCTGGATTGAGCTGTTGTTGTTTTTTTAATGTTAAACCAACCTTGCATTCCTGGGATAAACCTCACTAGTTTCTGACATAGTCTTTCTATGTACTATTGGATTTGAATTTCTAATTTTAAAAAAGTGTTTTTGCATCTGTGTTCATGAGGATGTTGGTCTCTAATTGTCATTTGTTTTAACATCTTTGTCAGGCTTGGTATCAGGATCATCTTGGCCTCATAAAATGAGTCTAATTGTTCTGTCCTCCTCGATTTTCTACAAAAGTTTGTGTAAGACTGGCATTATTTTATTTCTTGATATTTGATGAAATTGAATAATGAAATCATCTGGGCCTGGAATATTCTTTGTGGGAAGGTTTTTTATAACAAATTCAATTTCTTTAATATACATGCAGCTATTCAAATTTTCTATGCCTTCTAGTGTCAGTGTTGGTAAATTAGGTCTTTGAAGGAATGTCATCTAATTTAATGGATAAAGAATTCAGGGTTGCTGGTTTTTCTTTTTTTTGAAAGATGTAGTTCCATTGTCGCTGGCCACCATTGGCCCTAATGAGAAGTCAGCCGTTACTTGTATCATTTTCCCCTCATTCTCACCAGTCTTTTTCTCTGGCTGCATTCAAGATTTTCTCTTTATCTTTAGTTTTCATCAATTTGACTATGATGTGCCTAGCAGTGATTTTCTCTGCATTTATCCAGTTTGAGGCTCACTGATCTTGAACCTGTAAATTTGTATTTCTAAATTTGTATTTCTCACCAAATTTAGGAGAATGTCTGCCCTCTTTTTGATATTTTGTCTACCCCATTCTATATTTTCTTTCTTTGCAACTCCAGTTACAAGTATGTTAGCTGTCCTTCAGGCCACTGCGGCACTGTTCTTTTAAATTTTTTTCTTTCTTTCTTCAAATTTGGTCTTGTACAATTCTGTCTTGAAGTTTACTTATGTAAAACTGAACCATCTCCAAACTCTGATTAAGCCTATCCAGTGAATTTTTCATTTTAGATATTTTATACTTAACTAAAATATATATTTGATTCTTTCTATATTTTCCCTATCTGTTTTGATATTTCTTCCTCTATTCACTCATTATGGCCAATTTTCCCATATAATCTTGAGCATATTAATAACAGTACTTTAAGCATTTGCTGAGTCCAACATCTAGGACAAATCAGGGTGGATTTATGCAGATTACTTTTTCTTTTGTCTATGGCTCACATTTTCTTGTTTCTGCACAATTCTAGTCATCTTTTACTATTTATTGGTTATTATTGGTGATACACTGTTCTATCTCTGAGTTCTATT